CACCTGCAGCCAAACCCTGCATGACACCAGAAAGGAGGCGGGGAGGGAAGGAGGAGAACACAGCGCCCTTTCAGGGACTGGGATTGTCGTGGTGTGTTTACTTGGCACTGTTATGGTACGGTTCCATTTATAAAGTTTAAAAAAAATTAAAACTTCTTTCTTTAGAAGTGGCAACTGAATAAATAAAGCACAAACATTAAATACAATAAAAATGAATGGAGGAGAATCAGACATGGAACAGCGACATAGTAACTTACACAGTAAGTTACACAGGTGACTACCTGGTTTGCTTTTGCCAGCCAACATTTTTTTTCCTCCCATCCATAATTAGCCTCACAGGTGACCGGACCAGGTGCAAGCGTCATATGCTTTTTCTTTTCTACACAGAGAAATTTATTTTTAATTATTTCTTTTTAATTATTTCTTTCTTCCTGTTTCAGTGACAAATATGGTTCTTCTCTAACCTAGAAGACTCTCTAAGGCCAAGTAAAAATAAGCATGAGTTTATCCCAAGGAATTTGTGAAGGAAGCAATGGAAAAAACCACCTAGTAACTAGTCTGTCTGAGACTAACAAATATTCGTTTAGAATCTGAACATACCATATTTTCAAATGAAGGGAAAAGAGGACAGCCAGGACTTTACTTCAGTGACCTCAGAACAGAAGAAGAGAATAAAAGCTGTTCCTGACATTTGTGTTTGTGCAGTGTCCCAAGAACACTTGGCTTGGGGGATGCTCTTAAAAGTAGTGCCCACATTCATCTCCCCGAGCAGGGGAAAGAGAAGCAGCAAAATATGGGGAACTTTCAAGTATTCTTTCAAAACCATAACAAATAAAAAAAAAAAGGTATGAGAGCACACTGTGTAAATGGCAGTCCCTTTCCATAATGAACACACTAAAGAGAGAGGAGAAATACATTTTCTGAAAAGGGATTTTAGAACACACTTAACAGGGCAAGTCCCCAAGTGCAACTTAATGACTTCACACCAAACCATCGATGTAATTTTGCCTTTCCCCCAAAAGATGAAGCCATTACTTCATCTGGCACAACACAGCGGTGAGAAACACCATGTGCTACCCAGGACTTGTCTTCTCCAGGGCTTTCATTGGCAACAGTAGGCATAACACTGCTGCACCAGAGTCTGGCATAGAAACATGCCAAAGCCAATTTCCCAGCCAGCTGTGTATTACAGGATATCCATCATCACCTTCGGAAGTACAGAAATAAACGCCACAGAAAGCTGGAGCCCTCAATATTTATGAACACAAAGAAATAAAGACTTCCTCATGTCATAAGGTCTTTTAAATAAGTTTTATAACCAAATATACACTTAAAAAGAAACTGTAGCCCTCACCATATCACACTGATGGAACGGCGTGCACACAAAGTTGTACCGGACACATTCTGCTCAGAAGCACAGTGCCTGCTGACACTGACCAAGGCTATCTCACGTGCACAGTCGCTCATCATAAGCTTCCAACTCATGTTGGAAGTTCAACACACTGGACAGAGAAGCAGCCTGAGCCACTGTGCGCTCTCCCCTGAATACACCTGGGCAAATACAGGAAACCTATTATTTCCTGTAAATAAACAGTAAATAATTACAATGTCCAGTAACTGTCAGATTAATTCAGATTAGAAGTAGAATTTTGTCACTTCAAATAAACCATGGTTCACTAAGGAGTTTTGTTCATCAGTCCCTTTTACTAAAGTGTCTTCCTGGGCAAATTCTTCAAGAATAATTTTAAAAACTGGACTATGAAATCAAATTGAGAGATTAAATTAAGTCTATCCATTAGCTATCGTTGTTCTCATTACCCCAGGAAATCAAAGGGACACCTAAAGCTGCTGATGTCCGCTAGTACCTCCAAGTAAAGCATGTCTATGAAGAGTGCCAGCACACTGGGGTGGTGCTCAGCTCCCTCACCATTAGCCTTCAGCGACCTCAGACTGCAGAGAGAGGGACTTCCACAAAGTATTGAGGGTGTCTGTCCTTAGACTGGTCTGATCCTCTTCCACTGAGATCCTCAGACTTCTTGAGCTTGCAGCAATTTCTTGAGCTGGAAAAATCTTTTCCAGAGCTGCATCTGAGAGATGTGGGTTTTTGTGCTCAGAGCTGGGCTCACAGTCTTATAGGAAGGAAATAAAAGCATGAGATGCCTATAGAAATGAACATTAATGGTTACTATTAACATAATTTAGCTTCAGTTAGAATGAACAACAAGACGACAATTATACATGAAAAATTAGCTTTTATTACAAATGTTTTGTAATAAGTAATGATTTTTCAAATTATTTTTTTTTACTTCAGTAACCTAAACATACAAAGTCACACGCAAACAAGAAATTGCTTGGTTAAAATCTTACTGTAGGTTAACTTGTCAGTAGTTCTATAAGATTTCCTGCAAGGCTTGCTTTTAAAATGTCTTGCTTATTGTACTATCAGCTTTCCTTTACAGAGATGCTCATCCTCCAGTAGGGATGTGTAGTAATCTACATGGATGATTTGATTCGTTTATATAAACAGGAGAAAGAAAAAAATAAGTTGTATCCATCTCTCAGTATAAAACCTATTTCTATATGTTATGCTTGCACATAATTTAGAGCCCAATACACTGGCTTCTGAAGCCAAAGACAGCTCTTACACTGACTGCAGTGTGCACCATGTCAGAAGAGGAACTTTACTAATTTCATATTAATTGGTGAAAGTATTCTTTGGTCACAAACATCCTATATCTCCCCAGCTTACAGTATATCAGAAGCTATTTTTCACCCATTTTAAATAACTTGCTTACGTTTTTATTTTATTCCCTGGCTTTCAGATTTTTCTCCTGCATTTATAATCCATACCTGTGTTCACGCATGTGCACAAAGTTTATTTGAGGTGTTTCTATGCAGACAGAGCAGGAGTGAGGGAAGGACGTCCTTTGTCTTCTGATACCTTTCAGATGTCAGACTGCAACAGCTCTGGTCTGAAACAGCCTTTTACTGGAGTCCCTCTGGATAGGCAATGCAGACATAGTGCACTGCTTTACTGAAGCTTTCAGGATAGACAAAATATGAAAACTGTGATCATTTTGTTACATTGCCTATTACACTGTAAAGCCGCATTATTCAAAATCAAAGTCTTATTTTTGGTGGGAAAAGTTTAAGAGAGTAAGGGAAAAGAAAGCTGCTAATGATGGAAGCAAGAATGTCTGGACAATGACACTCTGCTTAAAAGGCACACCAAGAAAAGGCAAGCTAGGTTCCTTTCCCGATGGTTTAAATCTGTTTTATATTTTTTCCTATATATATATAGATATGCATATATATGTGTGCACACGTACATAAATATATGTACGCACACACACCTTTGAGTTTTTGAGAAGTTCAAAAATTAGAAATTCATTTTAAATAAATAAGAACCACATTAATGGGGGAGGGTGGTGCTGTTAATTTGCTGCATTGTGATTATAATCTAATGACACCATGATATAACTATACCATTTTTTATTTTACATCATTTCATTGTATAAATGTGAGGCATAAGACTCGTAAGACCAAGTGCATTTATCTTGCTTAAGGTAATTTTTATGGATCTTCTGTGTTCTTGCTTTTTCGTAAAGAATAGTCATTACTTTAAGAAATATTAAGAGAATTGAGGGTAAAGATATTCTAACAATCACAATTAAAATTTATTTGACCCTAGGGTTTACACGTTAGAGCGTGGCATGCACGCAAACACACAGGCGAATGACAATGACAACAATGGCTGTACACAGCTCAAACTCAGGCATGGTCCCAGCACGGCTGTAGTATGCTGATGTTGTAAAAACTTTTTTTTTCCTTCTGCATAAACTTGATGATATAATGCACCATTTCCAAAATCTGCACTGTTCCATCTAAATGGTCCACGTACAATGACGGTAAGTGTTAAGAGGTATGAGATGATTACTAACTTCCAGGAAACATTTAACAGAAGATGCCCATACAGTAGTCACCATTAAAAGTTTAGCAGCTGAAGGTTGAATGTAAAGATCTTTTCAGCTGTATTGTTTAAAGAAGTATGACTATCACAGTAAAGGTATTTACAAAAAAGGCAACAATAGTAAAGATATCAATAGAGAACCCAGTAGATTGTTCAGAAAGTGGATCACATTTTCTGCTAAGTATGAAATATTTCTTGCCATGTTGTAAATTCTACCTACTAGATATCCCACAATATAAACCAGACAGAAGAACTTGTAAAAAGATATTAAGAGCATTGGTCCTGCATTTCTGATTCCCCAAAACCTACCACAGAAGACTAGAGGAATTTTGAATGTTTAGCAATTGCAGGACAGAACCCTCAGAGGACTGCAAAATGTTGCTTCTTTTCAGTACTCATTATATATAAGTATTCAATTTATTTTCTTTGGCTTTTAAATTACTATCCCTTCATATCTATAACGTGAAACCAAACCAAACCCAAACCACTAATAACTCCCCTCTCCCTTTAAAACAGTGATAAAAAAATTAAATGATCCTAAAAACATATCCGGAAAGTGTAGCTGTTACTTCATTATAAAACTACGGTGCAAAATAGAGGTTTATACTGGTCAGAATTGCAATAGCAATTGGAAATTTACACTGAAGGAGTGATTGCAAGTATTGCTTCTCCAGAATAACAGAAAAATCAAAACTGATTAGGCACTTGTTTTCTTGTTTAATGAGAGACCATTCAGTGTGCGTAAAAATGACAGAAATATTCTCTAAAAGAATGCTCTGTAGTGTAACAACTGTATTGCTCAACTACAGCCACAGTCCCTGATTCAGGAGAGCAGAAAAACATGTGCCTGTTACCTATTTTATGCTGAAATCCTACAGATATGAACGGGCTGGATAAATGTTCAAGTGCTGTCCTGAACTGGGATGCTTGCTGAAATTTGAGTTTTAAAAGATAACAGTGGTGAGCTTCTTTTCATTATACTACAATACCAATATTATCTAATCCGGCTCTGCTCTCCAAAATTATTATCCTAATAATTCCTAATAAAAAAGAAAACAGGCATAAAATAAATAGGATAACCAAAGATTACATAATAAATACACTACCAAGTGGGAGGAAAACACATTGCAACATAAGGCTCTGTAGTGTTGTACAATCAAGAAACTGTTCCAGGTGCTCCGAAACACAACTCCTAATGTACAACACCAAGTTACCACTATACACCTGAAAAAGATTGGGAAGTAACAGATGAAATTTCTATCACATTAAACATTTGAAAATACAAGCAAGTGGTAATGTGATTCACTGCCTTTGCAGAACATCACATGTATGTTCTTTCACTGCTCCAATTGTCATTGCTTGTGAAGGAATATTCAAAAGATTGGGTTTTTGAAAACTCTCATCGAATTCCTTCTGACTTACAAAGTTACCAGTGTCCACACTGACTCATGCTATTATCTCTGAAAGTAAAAGAAACTCAGAAATTTTGTTGCCTCCGTTTCTTTGCATCCATCGCATCTAGGATAGGTTGCCTCTTCGCAGTGTACCTCTGACGAAGCTCTTCAATTTCTCTTTCCATCATAGGGTCCAAAGCCTTTAATCGCATCTGTAATTCTTCTAAACTCAGATTCTTTAACTGTAACACAACCAACCAAAACAAAAAAATTAAAAACTATTTACAATAAAAACTAAAACCACTAGCTTTCATAATCCTTTAATTCACAGCCCCAATGTTTTTACACACTTTGAGTGTATGTCTGCACATATATAACTGTTTATATAACCAAAAGCCTTAGTACACTCCACAGTAAATAATTTAAGGGCATATGAAAACACAAACACACAGAGTACATTTAATTTAAAAAAAGTCACTTTGCAAACAGGTTGCAAACAAATATAGGGCTGGAGTTCAACTCATGAGGCTGGAAGAAAGCACACCACAGTATACGCAGTTGTATTCATGCACATAAATGACATTGCTTTATCAAATACTTCTTACTGAACTTCAGTCTCTTACAGAAGCCTGAAAAACAGACAGGTGCTCTAAGTTATAGTCTGACAGATATTTAGAGGTACCTTCTGATAAGAATGACACGGCACCTGTCCTCCTCAACAGATTGCTGCCACAACTAGTCAAAGCCAATTGCCAAGAGAGTTTAAATAATACATGAACTAATTTCCTGAGTTCATGGGAGAGAGTTACCTTTGACCAAGCTCTTTTCTTTCTAAAAATATTTTCTTACAATGTTAAACAGTTCATTACATTTAATTCATTAAGAGCGACGAGTCATATAAGAAGTAAACTGCTTTGCTGGCTTGCTGGCTGCTACAAATAAAGGCTGGAGTCTTGTCAGGTACTAGGGCACGTCGGGCAGTGCTCCCCCACCTGCTCCTGCAGGGAGGGATCTACATTTGAAATACAGTCCTTTGGTTGGCCTATGTATTTTTTTCCCCGATGAAGTCTGGTGCCTCTCTGCATTTGTCTTGTCAGAATTGCCTACGTGCCAATTACTCTTCACCAAGTGTGAAAAATATCAACAAATTTCAAACAGCACAAATAATTTCATCCTAGAAAAGGGATAATCTATATTTTGTTTGCAAATATTCTGACATTGCAAACAAGCACTCCACCTAACTAGGGGGGGGGGAATGAAAACATTTTCTGAATCAACCTGCTAATGAGTCAATACTTTGTTCATGAATCTAGGGCAGTCTTCCATCAACACAGTCTGATCTATTTTCCCTGAGGAATGACAAACTACTTTTGATCTTTATTTTTATCAGCATCTGAGGCATAGCAGTTAGCTACACATATTGCTACATACAGTCCAAATCCCAGCATTGTGACTTCTACTAACAGATTACATTGTACATAGTAAACAAATAACTTTAAGTCATAATAAAGAGGGAGCGCAGATCAGAAACTCGTAGAAGAGCATACGGAAAAAGATGCACATTTTCACACAATGTCATTTTAACCATAAGATTCCCAACAAAGATGAGAATTAAAGCCCAGATATCAAAATGTATTCCAGGACCAAAGAGCCTAAGACCCATACAAGCTTCAGAGACCTCAGATGTCTCAGTAACTCATCAGTAATGTCTGTCTCTCCCAAGGCAAGAGACACCTTTCATTTCTTAGGAGGGAAAGACTTGCCTCCCAAATAATTGAATATAATCTAATTTACAACATTTTTCCCATTTGATAAATGCAAGAAAGAATGGGTGAAAGGAATCATAATTCCTCAGTCAGCAAGGCTCTTGCAGAAAAACACCTTTCCATTTTCAGAGAAAGAAAAGATTAAAAAAAAAAATCCATTCTCTTTCATTTTGAGCCCATTAGTGAATTTAACTGGCACATTACAGACATTTTTTCAGAAGATATTCTTTAAACACTTGCAGTATAATGAGATGACAGTGCCGATGCCCCTATTTAACTGATTCCAAGGCGGCACAGATGACAAGAGCAATAAAACTGTGTTTCTTATCTAGTGTGAGAAAAGAAACATATTTGGGGCTCCATGGACCGTCAAATGGACTAAGGAAGGCTTTTTGAGAACTGCCACTGATGAAGTCTCCTACCCGCTCTGGGCCAGCCTGGGCAGCATTTATTCCCTCTCAGGCACCACTGCAGACATCAGGCTTAAACTGCACAGAATAGACTCCAACTGATGCAATCACATAATTATTCTGCACTGAAAAACATTTTTTTATAAATTGTCAGAGAAGAATGTGATGGGTAAGTTTTTATTTAAATTTCGATCAAGAAACAGAGCCAGCAAACAGAATTAAATATTCTCTGAAGATCACAGACAGCTGGGTGGAAATTAAAATATACAGAAAATGAAATTTTCAATCCAGAGAATAAGAATCATCCAGAATCATCTCAGCCACATCACCCAGGGAGCCACAGCATTCATCTGTATGAACGGCCGATGCTCAGGACACTCAAAGGAAGTAAATGACAGAAAACAGGGACATTAAGAGACTGAAAACAGCATGAAGGTCTATTCTATATGACATCAGATGGTAGATGAGGCAGGAATGGTCAGAGAGCTCTAAGTACTATAGAAAACCACTTGAAGCACATCTAAAATCCACAGCCAACTCTAGGATGCATGTGTGTGTGTGTGTTCATGGACATATATGTCTCCCTGGTAAATTTAAAAATATTTTTTCTTGACTTCTGTCTGTGCTATAGATACTACATCACGAAGCCTGAAGCCTGCAAAAGCCTAAACACTGAATCCAACAGCAAATATATCAAAAGAGATGCACAGAAGTAACTCCAACAAGATATTTCACTATTCCTATGTAATTTATTCCCCTGCATGATAAATATTTTTATTCAAATTCTTAAAGTGACAGAGCTCAGCAGTCATCTACTTTCACTTGCAGCCAGTTTGCAATTTAAACGGCCATCAATAATTCCCCACACAGTTTGTTGCTGTAGCTACCAGGGCTACCAGCATTAATAGGACTGGAGAGGAGAGCATTCAGCTGTGCAAGCTCCAGGAATTCAAAAATGCTTTAAATTATATTTTGATAGCTTTTTAAAAGCTGTAAACTGTAGCAGTTCAGTAGTGAGGACTGCTGACTGTCAGTATTTGTCTGACAACAAAATAAAGTTCAATTTTTGACACTCTGAACAACAGAATCAATCGTGTCCCTCTGGAGATCAGACACCCACAATCACACAACAGACAGCAATCAGTGTCACGATGGGCCACCTCCAAGACAGAGAGGTCTTTGGTGACTGGAGTTTCTGGTAAAAGCATTTGCCGTCACTGGAACCCTTCATATCACCTGGTAATCAAGTGGGTTTGGGAAAGCAACACTCCAAATTCCAATTTACAATGCCACAAATCTATTACATACAATAATATATAATATTCAGGAAGCGTGTGATTCTGTTTTATACAAACATATAGTATTTTTCCAGTAGAAAAATTAGATGTTTACAGAAAAAAAACACTTTTCTCCTGAAAGGCATATTTGTTAACTTAATAACTAAAGAGAGTTACAATGTACAAGAGAAGCAAAGAAAAAAACCCAACATAATAAAACCATCTCCAGAGCCAGATAATACTGAACAATTTCATGTAACAGCTGATGGATTCTCAAGACACAGTCACACCCAAAGAAGCCTCCCTGAAATTCTCTACTTGCTTTGCTGGAGCAACAGAAATTAACTTGGCCCTAAGAAGAGACCAGCCAACAGTCATCCTTGTGGGGCGAGCTCCCAGGGCTGCAAGCTGAGCCCTTGCCTCTGTCTTCTCCTCTCCCTGATGCAGGTGGAAACCCTGGCAGAAGAAAGGCACCCCCGTAGAAAGGAGCTCCATCAACCCAAGATCCCAGTAGCAGAAGATCCTTTCAGCAGCACCAGCTTGAGCTGGGACAACCAGCACAGAAAGTATAATTAACCTTTTAACTGACCTATAATTATCAGTTATAATCTTTGGAAAAGGTGAACCAGACACACACTTAGGAGATGGGTAAGTCTGGAAACCTGCTGTACCTTATCTTGAACTTTTAGCAAATGGGACACCAATCATTTACCTCCTCCTGGCTCATTTTTCGACTTACTCATCATGGGGTTAGACACTTTTCCCAGAAAGGCTCCAAGCAGAAGCTAAAAAGCAGCAGAACAGATTAAGAATCATTAGCAAGCTTTTCTTAATGTGACCATCCTCATTAAGCTGGGATACAGTAACAATTCAAAAGCTGGGGCAGCTCCAGACATGAAGCGATCCAGCTGTGATCAGAGCACAGGTCAGAGCTACAAGCACCACAGAGACAGATGCATTCCCCTTCTGGGAAGGTGGCAGGAAGCATCGCTAATCGATCTGGGGTTCTAAGAAGCAGTAATTAAGTTTTGCAGCTGAAGAAAAAATAATCCAGTTTTATTCGTTGGTCAAATACAGTGCAGTTTATCGTTTCATCGGAAGAATATTTCCCATGCAGGAAACACTCTTCCTCTGGTCAATACTGGTTTCAGGTCGATTGCTTTTTTGCATGTCTTCGAACAGTCACACACAAGGAATTCTTTCCTCACATACTGATGCAGTCACCTCCCAGAACCAAACTTCAGCAAGGGAAGTGCGGTAATTTTTACTTTTTTGGTCTTTCAGTCTAACTTCTTGCATCCGAGATGGACCAGCTTCATTTGGATCAGTATTTTCAGCAAACCAAAGAATAATTACTTGCAGTCAATACTACTACTGCCTGCAGGAGGATCCACATCATTTCTTACATATTTTGTCTGCAACCCTGGTCAAGAAGGGCACTGGGAAGATATATACATGTTCCTGTCTACAGCCACAAGTTCTTATTACAGCAGCAATAAGACAAGAAGAAGGGAGATTAAATACAACCAAAAATGGACTTTGAGAAGTCATGAAGTCAAAGGGTGCAACGCAAATACTGACTACTGGCTTCCAACTGTGTCCAGCACAGGAGCCAGGATGAAGGACATGTATCTGAGATACCCGCTGGTGCTTGTGGGCCACAGATTGAGGCGAAAGGGTCTGGGAAAGGGTTTGGAACTCATCAGCAGCACTTGGCCAGCACGTATCTGTAGCCATCCAAACTTTTCAGGGGCAAAAGCCAAAGTTTTGGTGGATATAGCATACTATA